GCTGCAGTGTTTTTGAAGTTGAAGAAACCAGTCATGATTCTGTACCTTGAGAGAAGCCCCGCCGACCAGGAAGCCATCAACATCAGGCTTGGCTGCCAGTTCCTTGCAGTTTCCGCCACTGACTGACCCTGGATTTAGCGTGGATTTCACAACGGTCAGGCAAATTCAGAGGAAAGCCGCCAATTCACTTTTTTCCTTTGTACTTCCCCAATTCACAGCAGAAATGTAGCATCTTTCGCATAATTTTCGATTGTGAGAATGACCAGGTTGACTCCCACGTGTGTATTAGAATTAGAGGAGTAAAATGTTACCTCCATAGATAATTCTAGTCGTTGATGCGATTTCAGGGCTGGTGTTTGCTTGAAGCCAGTCCCTCAGTTCCGAATGTACCTAGCATTATGGCAAGAGCAAGTTTAATCACATTGTCCTTCCCTACTACATCGTCACCACTTTCAGGGCTGGTACTCGAGATCATGTTACTGATGAGTGATCTATATCGAGCTCAATGATGGTTATGATCACTTAGCGAAAGTTCCATGTTCCAGTTTTAAAACCAGTGGTTTCCAGCCACAACGAATAGGTCAGAGTAATTCAATATGAACCAAGCGAAAGAACATAAGGCGGTCCCATCCACATAACCACACTATCAAGAAACAGAAAATTGAGCTTACTTCCTGAGCCTGTGCAGGGCTAGCGACTTTTCCTGTCCCAATTGCCCACACAGGTTCATAGGCCAACACAACATTAGTCCAATCTGTTACCCGCTCTGCCAAACAAACCACACAGGTTGAATCACAACTGTGAATAATTGTAATGGTAACATGTAATGCCTCCTAAGCTAGGCATTAGCAAGAAAGAATAGCACATCAATAAGGAATAAAAAAGGCAGAAAATAAAGGTGCAGATTTCTCCTCACTTTGGCCTACTGAGGAACAGTCATTTACCTGCTATTGCTTTGGTCTGAGCTGCAACAACTTCCATGGTGGATCCAGCTTCCCTTTGCTCAAGAGTCTCACCAACACAAGCTATCACTTTCAAACCCTTAGCAAGTGCATAAGCAACCTTGTCCCCAACAAACTGGAAGGTAGTACAATCACAATATAAGTTATAACTTGGTGTCAAACAAGTGAAGAAAAGTGGAAGCTACTAATCAATCATGGTGTTATAGCCATCAATCATCTGATCCTGAGCTAGGATGGGACATGCAAAACCCTACAGCTTACATCATTCGATTCCTTTAAGAGACTCCTCCTCTCAGAATGTCCAAGGATGACCCAGGGAATGTCCAAATTCACAAGCATCTCCGCACTACACATAAACAAGCAGGGTTTACAATCTTGGTAAAAAAAACAAAGCAAATCCTGTCAAATGGAGTTCCATTTTAGTAAACATCCATCAAACAACAAGAATCAGCTTGAAGTAGTTCCATTAAGCCTGGTCACAGTCACATTTTGATTCATAATTTACAGGATTAGACAAGATAACGAAAGTTCAGTAAACAATCAGAAACGAAAAACATGACAGCCAAGGCTAAAGCTAACGAACTAACTAAATAGACTCTAGAGAGCAGATTGAACCATACCTAACCTCACCGGTGTAAGCACCTCCATTCTTCACCCAGCAATTTTGTGCAGCCACATGGAAATCTGGCCTCAGCGTTGTTTTCACCAAAGGAAGAAACACAAATGGAGGGCTCACCACGACCTCTGCAGTATGAGCATGATTTCAACCACAATCATCACAGCTACTCACCAATAGTAAACGGAAAGTGAATTCGATTCTGCAATATGTTCAAAAGCTTCGCAAGATCAAGGCAGGGAGCTAAAGCATTTACTTACCAACAACATCAGGGCTGGGCACGTCGCCTCCATTAAGAGTGGAGACTATCTTCTTCACTTCCTCAGTAGTTCCATTCTGTGCGAATCAAATCAAAATTAGACCAAAAACAGAAACAATACCACGGCCATCGCCATAAGCGCGGAAGGCAAGACTAACAGATTAACGAAGAAAAGCATCATCTAGAACCGGTAAAAATCGCTTAACCAATCTGATCCTACGAGTCTACGACACAAAAATACAGTCTGCCATTGAACGGCAGAATCACGCTCACTCAGCTAAGTAACGATCGCGAAAACAAAAGGTAAATCGGAGACTCACGCATTTCCAGTTTCCGCCGACGAAAAACTTCCTTGCCATTGGCTCTTCCTCTACTTCTTGTTCTGCTGCTCGGCGATGATAATCTGTGCTTCTCAAAAAGGGCTTCGGGGGGATTTTTTTTTTAAATATGTGTGATCGTTAGACGGTTTTAAGGATCATGAAATATCAACCATACCAGGTGCGCACCCTGAGAAGATAAGTCAGAATTAGAGAATGACGGTTGTGACCCCGTTCAGCGAGTATTCTTTCATGGCATTGGTCGAGGGTAGATTGGGAAATGGGTATATTGAGAGAGGAAGAGGAGCAATAGCAAACGGTTTTTCTTGAGCGGGTAAGGTAGGCCCATAGTGTTGGCGATCGTGGTGTACTGTTGCTTAACGTGATGGGCCGGCTCCGTATTCCTTCTTTTATTTTAGGGTCGTTTGGTAAGCATGTAATCTACCCACGGATTTCATAATTACAGGATATCTGAGATTTCACAATTTTTCTTGTTTTATTTTTGGACACATATCATGATATTGGTGCATCATGTAATTCTAGAATTCATGTGACCATGATATCTCAAATGCTTTGAGTTTATCCAAAGTATTTGAGATTTCATGCCAAATTATGTGGGTTCTACCATGAACTCATGCAAGCCAAACAATGCATTCTAATATTACACAAATTCTCACAACTCAACCTACAATATACATGAATTCTTCAAATACATGAATTCTACATTACGTGCTTACCAAACGACCCGTATATTTTTGGAGACCACTCGTGCTTTGGTGATGGCTAATGACTCAATCTTCCATGTGGACTACCAATCTGTAACCGTTTTCCCCATTAGATATAAGTATATAATAATAAGAAAAAATGGTAAAAAAAAAACATAATCTACAATTATCTCACAGATCTAAAATTAAATTATAATAATTCTAGACGCGACATTAAAAAAGGTTAATACCTTAGTTTGGCCTGAACTATACACATACTTTCTACTTTGGCCCGTGGTATTGAAAATTGCTATTCTGGCCTGAACTATGTAGCAAACTTCCTCATTTGGCCCGGAGGCGGGTTTGACCGTCAAATTAGACTGTCAAACCTGTTGACCGTTAGTCAATGTCCACATCACCTGCCACGTCAGCTTTGAGGACATAAAAAATTATTATTTTTTATTTCTGAATTTTATTTTCTTTCGACTAATAAAAATAATAAATCAAAAAAATTAATTAAAAGAACAAAAAAGGGCCCATTTTTAGCAAATGACAAGAAAACAAAACTCAGAAATAAAAGAAATATAATTTTTATGTCCTCAAAGCTGACGTGGCAGGTGAGGTGGACATTGACTAACAGTCAACAAGTTTGACCGTCTAATTTAACGGTCAAACCCGCCTCCAGGCCAAATGAGGAAGTTTGCTACATAGTTCAGGCTATAATAGCAATTTCCAATACCACGAGCCAAAGTAGAAAGTATTGTATAGTTCGGGCCAAACTAAGGTATTAACCCTTAAAAAAATTTACATTTCACTCTATGAGGCAGGGTCGTAGCCCGTAGGGGTGATAAGCATGTATGTAATGTCTACTCCTCAAAGGAGATTACAATACATATACAAGAATCTTAAGGATTCTTGGGGTCGAAGTCAGGATCAGAGAGACATTCATCGGTCGCTATGTCGGAGTACTCCTCCTCGTTCTCTGATTCCTCAACTTCCTCTTCTTCCTCTATACTCTCCATCGAGTCCAAATGGGTGCCCAAATCATCCACATTAGGACCCATTGAGTACCAATCATAGATGGCTCTCGTTTGCTTGAGGGTTTTGGTGATGGATTTGGTCATGGAAATAGATCCATCATGGACTTGAACCGAAATCCATCGTTTGCGTTAGCGAATTAGGAAGATGGAATTAGTGGGCCCCACCTCTTTTGGGGTTCCAAATCCGTGGACCCCACGGACTTGGAAGTTCCACCTCTTGAGGTGGGATTTGGGTGATGTATTAAAATCCATGATGGTAAATTACCTTTCTACCCTTAATTATTTCTTTACTTACAAATGTGTCCTACTTTAATTCAATGGTCATGCAACTATAAACTTTTATAATTTTGTATTTTATAAATATGTGAATCTATCATTTCGTTTTGTAATATCGTATTTTATTTAGATTCACCTAGAAACACTTTATGCTCATCTTGTGCATTATTATTTGATTGACTGTCGGATTCCACATCGGTGAGTTAGCAAGAAGATGATGAGTTGTAGCAATAAAGCGAGCAATTGATACATAATAATGCGTACATTATTAGATGAATTGTTAATTAGTGCCAAATTGTAATACATTTCTTATATTTGTAGTTGAATTATTAATCCACAAGTTTAAAATTTATTTCTATATTTTAGATTAGTTTTAAATGAAAGATTTAGATTATAATATAAAAATATAATTAAATAAGGATAACAAGGTAATTTATATTTAATATCCACAAATCTAATCAAACAAAGTCCATAATCAAATCCATCAAGCAAACAATAGACTTATTCAAAGCCATAATGCCACCAAATCCTTCATATATCCATGATTTTCCAAAACTCAGATTTTATCAAAACCCTCATTTTTAAAATCCATAAAGCAAACGACCCCTAAGTATATTCGGTTTTCATTATAAGCCTAAGCCAACTTGTTCATTTGCTGCTTAGGCCTTAGAGAGAAGGCCCAACATAGTTTTAGGTAGCTCTTTAACTGTTGGGCTCGTCCCAGCCCAAAGCAGCGTCACCAGACGGGCCGTTGGCAGATCCTTATTCCGGAGCGAGAGCCATAAATTAGAAAGGGCAATTTATCTCTCTCTCCACAGTCAAACCGTCCTTAAGCCAGCCCGCCAACGTTTTTAAGTTTTTTCTTCCGGTTCTTCATTTCCCGCCTCCCACCTTTATCTACTCCCCAAGCCAGCAAGCCGCCGCTCCTCATCTTCTCCGGCATCCCGCAGTGAAATATCCGAGTCGATCCCCACTCGAACTGACTTGAAGAAATGGCCGGCCAGTCTTGCTCTCAGCTCTCGCTCTTCACTCCCGACGAGGTTCGCTTTCTGCGGGCATCCATCTAGTCCATCGCTAGGATTCGACTGGCACAGGTTTCACTTGGTAAAATAAGTCTATGAAGTTTCATTTGTTACCTCGCACTCTCGCAGGTGGAGTTCATGGCGGAAGACGAGTTGGTCGAGATCGTCCCGAATCTGAGAATGGACTCCCTCAATTTCATCTGTGTATCTCTCTCGAAACCCTAATTTCCCATCCCATTAGCTGCAACTGTTCAAATTTCGGAGATTACTGATCAACAGTAATTGTTTCAGGGGGATTACGGCCCGTTTTACCCACAAATAGCCATTCAGGTTCCGTTGTGGTTGGCTCTGGCGCTGAAGAAGCGAGGGAAGTGCACGATTCGTCCTCCGCAGTGGATGTCCATCGGTTTGTTCCTGTCAATTAGGGTTTCTCGATTTGCCGCAATTAGATACAATTTCAATGTGCTGATCGCGTCATTTTGTTTCGAATTGTATTTTGAGATGATTTATAGTGGATTTTTTTTTGTGTGTGTGTGTGTGTGTGTGTGAATCAGATAACTTGACTCAGGTGCTGGAAGGTGAAAGGGAGTCTCATGCATTTCAGTCATTGCCCTTCCATTATGTTGAAATCTCCAGACTTCTTTTAGACCAGTAACTACTCGACCTCTGTTGCTCTTACATGGAATTGCCCAAGTAGAGAATCTGACCATAACTTCCGGATTTTTTGGTTGGCAGTGCACGAGATGACATTCCTGAGATATACATGGCAAGTTCGGAACTCTGGCCTAACATTTTCTCTTGGTTAGCTAGGTATTTGGTTGGACTAAGGAGCTTGATGTAGTTTTGTTACCTCTGTAGGTGAGATCGCTCGTTGAAGACATCAGGGATGTGAGGTTTCATAAGGTGGAGACAAACTTGGAAAACTTCACTGCTTCTGCAGTAACGGTACGCCTTTTACTACTCCACATTGCTGTATGAAAGAGTCACATGAACGTTCTCAAAAGGATCTGATTTGTGCAACACTGGGGTACTTATATAACTCAACTTGTTCAAATCCATAGGTTTATAGTTGAAAAAATATTAAGAATACTAGGCCACTGTTGCATATAACTTCCCATGAGCCGTAGTTTAAAACTGGGATAGGAATGGATCACCTAGGCACTGTCGTACTGGAACTTTATTGTAACGTAGCTACTATTCTGTGCACCTTCGTTTAGTAACCATTTTCCTTATGGTGCAGTATGCATTGCCTCGGTTGATAACCAGCATGATCACAAATCTTTCATTCTTGTTGGTTGAACTACCTCTCCGGTTGCCATTGTACTTGTGCTCTGACCTGGTTTCTATCTCATTGAACTCTTCTTTAAAATTGCAGTGGAAAAATATGGCTGCTATGGAAGTGAATATAATCCGCGCCTTCTCTGGGAGAGCCCTACAAGCATTTTATAGACATGAGAATGAGCAGCTCATACCAGATCTTGATAGAACACAAGATAGACAACCTCAAAATCTCAATGACAGGCCTAGAGTATGTCCCTTTTCTGCCTGTTTTTGTCTATTTCTTCTCCATTATAATGAAAATATTGGATCATGGTGTGAATTGGATTTTATTTTCTCGGATGGCTTAGTATTTCTATATTGTTGCTTTGCAGCGTAACCTAAGGCCTCGGTAGATTAAGCTGGAAAAACTAACCTCGTCAGGAAGCGGCACAAGTTAGTCTGCTTCCCTTTGATAACTCGGTGATTCTTTGACTGTTATAGAGAAGCCTTTGCCTGAGTAACTCAGTGACCAGATTTGCGTCTACTAATGGGATCCTAGGTCAGTATTTTATGGTGTACTATTGCTATATGTGTAATCTTTATATGGAATGCAATGGTGCATATCTTCCTGCAAACTAGAAGTGGGGGAATCTTTGCTTGAGGAAAGCTTAGTCAAACATTTTACAAGGTTCGAATTTAAACAGGGTATATTGAATTTAAGGTTCCATTAGGCTCCGACCCTGTGTTAGTTAGTGGTTTGTCCATATCACATTGATAATTTTATCTGCCTAAGAGTCCAGGCTGTGCATCAGAATCACAATTTAGATCCCATTTTGGTATCCAATTGATTATAGGGAACATATAGGCCACCAATTATCGATAGTAGGGTCGAGTATAAAGACGGAGATAATTCTTTTGAGTAAGATAAGTTCTCTAACCCCACTCTCATTCTTGGTCAGAGGAGTTTTCTTCTCTTCTCCTCTAATACTCGATAGAGAAGTCATGGGCCATAGTTCGGTGGATAGTATACTTCTTATTCGGTTTGATTTCGACCATTATGTGTGTTATCTCAGTTGTTAGATTGTCGTGAATGATATTTGTTTACATAATCATTATCGTGTCAAATCAAATGTTGAAGTTATCACTCCCTACACTTGAAGTTACACAAATGGTTGACATGTTTGTCATCCATAGTAGCAACGTTGTGTATGACAGGAAACTTTAGTTATAAATAGTCGTTTAGATTTGAATAATGCATTCTCGTTTTGCGATTGTTATTAGTTTATATATAACCACCATATCAATAATTAGATTCTCTCGTTTTCCTTCATCTTCATTTTCTAGTGTGTCAATGATTAGAAAGACTTTCCCTTTGAGCAATGATTATATTCCAAGCAAGATATGGAATGAACACACTACACAATAGTATATTGTTATAAGCTTGCTGCTGCGTTCCTTACGCTTTAGCGCCCGCAAAAGTCGATCTCAATGGAAGGAGATTCTTGATTTAGGAATTCGGATTGTGATCACATTCAGAGGTAATTTAGGAAAAGTAAGTTATTTATGTTTGTTTTTCTCCCTTCGCCAACAACTCAATCAACATGTTGCTAGGTTGTTGGTGTTATTCGTCCACTAGCAACAATGACAAAACACCACGAAATGTTATTGGTTAATTGTTGACTAATGTCTGACGATAGTGGAAGGTAGTGACATGCGATTGTACGTTGTGCTAGTATCAGAAAAATAGATGATTCATCGTGTTCGTATGACCATGTTCACATATGAGTACATAATATGCTCACTTTTTTCTCCCTTTTTTTGTTGATGATTGAGGTCTGCCAGTTTGTCAACGACAGCCATGTCGTGTACAGATGCAAAAACCATATATTATGGGTTGCTTAAAGTGCCAATTGTTGGCGAGTGGTTTATGTGAAGGGCACTGTGATCTGTTTGGTAATGCTTGTTTGGTTTCTCTGGCTGAAAAATGGACACCTGATTGATACCCGTTTGTTGTTTTTCCCTCTTCTCATATCATACGACTTGGCCTTCACTACCCACTTATGCGAATTCTATTTTTGACAGCCATGTCTAGAAGGGTTTCCGGTGAGAGATCACTGAATTCGAATTTGAAACATTTTTTATGGTGACGATAAACATCTTAATGCTTTTTATATAAGTTTTGTTGAGTTAAACTCACTTTCCTGCTTTCAAATTATAGGACGGATACTCCGTCCGCTTGAAGTTCATTGTTTAAAGTTACATTGAATCCCCTAAAAAATAAAATGAAAAAATCAAATCGAAATTGATTTCATTGTAGACTAGATCACTTCTAATCTCATCGATTTGTGTCTTATGTTTTCCTTTCTATCATTATAAAAAGTTACATATGCAGATTGTAATCTTCATTCTTGGTGAGCGACTTGTTCTCCAAGCAGTACGTAACGGGTAAGAGTACAAGAAGATAAATAAAACAATCTAGGCATTGTCACCAAAATATAGAAATAGAATTGGAAAGGTTCTCTGGCATCATCATCTTCTTTGTCCCAAGTTTTTCAACTTTTTCTTGTCCTTTTTCGTAGATGGGGATCTTTTTCTTGTTACCACAATGTTGTCCGTTTGTGCCTGTGATTTTCATACCTGGGATAAATTAAGGACAAAAATAAACATTATAAGGAATTTAGGTTTGAATTTAATAAATTGTAATTTGCATTTTGTGACCATTTGAATCCAATTAATCTATTAAAATACTCATTTTATTCAATCTAAATTTCATTGAATTGGTAGATTAATAGATTAATATATTCTCTCTTACCTAAACTTCAATTTTGTTATGAAAAAATAGTCATAAAATTACGTTTGGTACCTAAAGTTTTTATAATTACATTTTACTATCTAAATTTTGATAATGGTCCAAATTTTATGTCATTTGGATCCATAAATCAAATCCACAAATGAAAATCACCAAACCACAAATCCATTTACTCCAATCCATAAATCACCACTCCAATTCAATTGTTATCTCCAATTGTATTCATATAAATCTTATCATACTCTGCTAAATGTTCATAATAGTCGAGGTTTATCGTGTTAGAATTTTGATGGATTTTTCCTAGTTAAAAACCAGAAAGAGAATTAGAAAAAATCTTTAGTCTGCTTGGGAAAACCTTTAGTTTGCTTGTATATGTGGGTCAGAAGTCAGCCGAACCGCGTGATCGGTAAAAGGAAAAGAAAGTGATCGAGTGAGTGGTCCTGAATCCTGGTTACATTTCTCTCGCAAGCAAAGCCACAGCCCACGGGATTCTTGAGAGCGGTCTTAATTAGTTAATTGGCCGGCCGAACCACTTTCCACAAATGGATCACAATCCTGCGAGCTGTTTTCGGTCAATTTTTAGGCCTACCTATTGAATGAAAGATGAGTCAATACTCAATTGTTATGTTTGCGTCCTATGCCCCACCCCAAGCTGGTTTCTTTCTATGGTCCACCCACTGTTCTGGTTTGGCTTTTCTTTACCCATTCCACCCGCCAAAGCCTTAGTCGCTGTCAAACTTCGTTATATCGTTGATAGATTGATGTAGTAAGTTGTTGTCTGTATCTAACGGTTAATCTATGCCTTTGTTTACACATCACTCCCTTGTAAAATATTAACCAATTTGATAAATTTGGTAAGTGGGTTTACAAGAATGTTTTTAAGCATGTGCGTGTTTACTTTGTTGAGTTGCTCATCGTGTCATCACATTTATGAGATTCGTGGAATGTCGATCCATGTAAGTGACTAACATCCGGTGCATCCACCGACTATGTAGTGCAGAATAATAAAACTATTTGATACGCTCGATCCAACAATGTAAAATATATGCTTCGGGCTCGAGTAATTAAGCACTGTAAATGTCTGTCAATATCTCATTTTGTGGCTCTCATCTTGCACCTAGGCTTTATGAACTTTTGATGTATGACAGCAGCGGATCCACGACATAGTATTGCAGTGGTCGCATTTGAATAGAAAATAACATTGGGCCGACTTTTAAATTGCACTGGATTGAATATCTAAAATCGAAAAATTCATAAGTACTATACTAACTCTTAACCCAAAGGAGGGCTGGATCGTGGCCCGCAAGCCCGGGGTGACCTCCCCCTAGATCCGCCACTGCCCACTAGGTGTATCTCATCGGTTATTTCCTCCTTGATTGTTTCGTTAAAGTAAACCTCAACATATGGGCGTTTAGTTAGGAATGGCAATGGGCAGGTCGGGGTGGGTGTCTCGATATTCATTTAACCTCAACTATTTAAAACTTCATTATAGCTAATACAAAAGGTAATAAAAGTAAAACCGTGATTCAATTGTTTCCTACCGCTAAAACTGCCTACCATTTTGAGTTCGATATCCGGTATTTTCGGTCGGTAGGGTTTCCTAAACATCGCAAAACGAGTCGGGAATAAAGGGGATCTGGACAGATTGAGTTGAGTAGAGTACACATAGTCACCCGTCCCAAAATAGATCAGGAAAAATAGATAAGAATAAAACATATCAAAGCAGATCAAGTCGAAAAGAGTAAACATATCCATGCATTATAAAATAAATAAGGTATTGTCATCTTACTTCTAGTGGACAGCTCATGTTGATGCTCACTTTTCTACTAAGTATGGTTCTAGGTTCATGTCTGTATATGTTGACAATTAGAACGGATGATTCGAGAGAATGAGTCTTTACATTTTGTGATCCCATTTGTCCACTTCCAAACTGTTATATGTTGTTCTCTACTATGATATGCGGAATTGTGCTGTTCGCCAAACAACCGCAAAAAATTAAAACAAGAAATGGGATCTTGAGAGTGACAACTGACAACCCCAAAACAGTCGTGATAGTAAGTCAATAACGAAATTAGTACTTTGGTTTATAATAATCCTAGGAAGACATATGTTCGATGGAACTCTATTTTGGCTTTTCTCTTGTAAAAGAAAGAAAGAGAGACCTCTTTTAATTTGTTTGTTCTTGAAAGAAGGAAAACAAAACTAATTCTTTGTTGTTGTTACTTGTTAGTATCTAAATAATATGTAAATGTTAATGCATCTTGGTTGTTTTCCTCATATTTATTTATGAACAACTTCACAATCTATAATTTTTTAGAATTATAATTTGTAATTTGAATTATCTTCAGATGTGAATTGAAACATTTGAATTTGCTTCGAGAGATTTATCTGATTGAAAAATAATGTGCAACTATTTTTATTAGTAAACAAGTTTAAAAAATGATATTTCATTTTCAGTTTTACGTTGGGAAAGAAAATAACTTGAAAATAATTTTCACATCATTTAACTCCTGGGTACTAGAAATTCTTACAAGAATGGTAGGAATCGGGGTTATGAACAAGAAATTTCATTTCCAAACACAAGAATTAGTAATGAAATTCTACAAATATGAAAATTAAAAATCGAATTCCATGGACACGGATAATTTGCCTGATGATGGAGAAGGTAGGCCAGCCTCCATAATAGACCATTTTCTCAACCTCATATTCCAACTAGTCGTAGCTGCTTATTAGTTTATTGTTCATCAAATTGATAATATTAATCGGTCATTGCTTCATTCAAATTTGCATGAATTTCTCTAATATTTATTTTATTGTTTTTATGAATATTTAAAAAAAAAGTGGAAGAGGGAATCCCTATAATTTTTTCCTTTTCACCATAGCAGCAGCCTCCCAAGGTGACTTGGTCTCCAAGTTCTGTTATGCCTTATAGAATGGCGAAACCCTA